CACCCCTTGATATCACATGCATGTAAAATAATCAACTCTCATGCCCAAAATTTATCTTGTTAATTACCCATTTTCAGATGATTTCAAAATTAGGGTTTAGGGTATAGAATCTTACCTCTAGGATGAAGACCTAGTGAGCTTGCCTTCTTAATTTTCCAAAACTTGTGCAAGAATTGAAGAACAATATTGGAGAACACCTTCTCACTCTAGGGCACCCTCTCTCACTCTAAAATGTCAGATATGGCTCAAAAATGACCCCAAGAGTGTATTTAACGAAATAGGGTCGGGTTTTAAAAACCCAAAAATGAAGCTCCGGAACAGGTTCTGCGGTTGCATATGCGACCGCATAATGGTTATGCGGACCGCATATCGGTCGTATAATTAGTGTCCAAAATGACCAAAAATCTGCCTGAGTCTGCGGTCACTATGCGGTCAGAATAACAGTTATGCAGTTGCATAGTACACCACATAACAGTTATGCGGCCGCATAGTCGACCGCATAATGGCTCCCAACTGACCCAATTAACTGCCTCACTCTTCGGCCATTATGCGGTCCGCAGAGTGATTCTGCGGTCGCATAATGGATCGCAGAAATGCACTTTTCCGCCAAACATTTTTCTTTACTTTCCCGTGCATTGTTCAACTCAAAAGGTCCGAGCCATGGCTCGCAAGCTCCCCGCGAAGAATTTCTATAATCCTCAAACACGTAAGCCTAGTCCGGCACCATGAAACATTATTTTCTTTGCAAATTTTACCGGGCTTTACACTTAAGTTCTTCAAAATGTTTCCGAGGTGTTACATATATTGTAGACAGGTGAGTAGTATTGTAGGAACATGCTATTCATATAAAGGATCCGGTCAATTAGCAACCTTTGATAATCTGGATTAACAAGTGTGGTTATTGAACTTAATAGGATTGATAAACCGACCACAACCCTTGAATCTTCATCTCCCCTTAGCAAAATCCAAAACACACGTTTGCATCCCTAATAAATTAGCTAATTACTTGTTCAATATTGGCAAAAGTAGTTTAGTATATAAACAATATTTTTGATTATCTTGGACAGTTAATTGATTTTAGTTTGCTTAGTTAATGATTAATCTAAGTCTTTGTGGGTTTGACATCCGACTTTCGAGTTACTTTATTACTTGACGACCACGTATACTTGCGTGTACTTGGGGAACCAACAAGTGTTTGGCGCAGTTGCCGGGGACTTAGTATTGATTGTTTATTTAAGTTAAGCTTTTATTCGTTATTTGTTCAAGTTTTAATTTTGAGTTTGCTTTATTTGTGGTAATGCAGGCTCTTCTCTTGAATGCAAAGGAGTAGAAGTGTGAACAACCTCCTTCCTCTTGATCCTAATAGAACGAACACTTCACATGGTAAGGAGGGAAGTCGAAGCCAAAACTAGAACAGAAGGAGAGTTAGACATCATAGTTCAACCTCAACCACCTGAGATGGCAGGTAATGAAGAGCGACCAGTGATCGAGGCCGCAAGGCCTAATCTTGCTAATATGACTCAGGATATAGTGAAGCCTAATATCACGAGTCACTTTGAGCTCAAACAGTACATGGTACAGCTGATTCAGTCCATAAGGCAGTATGCGGGTCTATCTCATGAAGATCCGCAACAAGACATTCAGAATTTTTTGCAAATTACTGATACTTATAATGATCCGAATGTTTCCAAAGACTACGTCAAACTGACGCTGTTTCCCTTTTCACTGCTGAGGGAAGCCAAAGAATGGTTGCATAAGGAGCCCACAAACTCGATCCACAATTGGGATGATCTAGCACAAAAATTCTTAATCAAGATTTTTCCCACTAAGAAGACAAAGTCGCTGAGGAGCCAGATTCTTGGGTTTTAACAACGAGATGGCGAGACTCTTTGTCAAGCTTGGGAAAGATACAAGAAGCTACTCAGAGACTGCCCACATCATTGTTAGACTGATGAGGTATTGGGTCACGCTTTCGTTGATGGGTTGGATGAGACATCAAAGATGAATCTTGACTCAACATGTAGGGGTAGTTGCATGGCAAGACCGTATAATAAAATCCAGATCCTGCTAAACAATTTCATTGCTAATGATAATAATTGGCAAGGAGATGGGGAACCACGAAGATCACTTAAACAAAAGGCAGCATGTGTAATTGAGCTTGATGATTTCTAAGCTATGAGGGAAGATATAACGAGATGAGCAAATAAGATGAATAAAATGACAATGCACCAAGCACAACAGATGCAGCATGTGCAATATATATCTTCTTGCTGCGAGTTATGTGGTGAAGGTCACACAAGTGACATATGCCCCGTGAATCCTGAATCCATCTACTATATGGGGAAAAAAGCTAGAGGGACGATGAATCAAAATGCTCAATATGGTAACACATACAATCCAAAATGGAGGAATCATCCTAATTTCTCTTGGGGTGGAAATCAGAATAACATGCCTCAAGCTAATTACAATCATCCACCTAAACCCCCACAACAAGCAGAAGAGAGTTTGACTGACATGATGAAAAAGCTCTTGATTGACAATTAGAAAGTTATGGTTGAGAATCAACAATTGCGCACAAAGTTCAAAAATCTAGAGAGGCAGTTTGGGCAATTGGCTAACAATCAGAATTTTAGACCTGCTGGAGCTCTTCCAAGTGATACAGAGAAAAATCCTCAAGTCAATGCAGTGACGTTGAGAAATGGGAGAGAGTTGGTAGAAGTGCCTAAAGAAAAAAATGAGTCATCTGGGCTCGAAGAAGAAAGAGTGCCAAAACCTGTAGAGGTAGATGAGAGAAACAAAATAGAGTCTGAGCATATATCAGAGAGGGTGCCACTCCCTTTTCCTCAAAGATTGAGAAACAAGAATGATGACTACATATTTCACAAATTTCTAGATATGCTGAAGCAGATACACTTGAACATCCCTTTGGTGGACATGCTCCGTGATGTCCCAAAATATACAAAATATATTAAGGATATAGTGTCAAATAAAAGGAGGTTAACTGAGTTTTAGACCGTTGCACTTACTGAGGAGTGCACTTCCAGGATTCAACATAAGCTTCCACAAAAGCTTAAGGATCCGAGTAGTTTTACCATCCCTATGATGTCATGCCCCAACCTCGGGGAGCATGACCGGCGCTCAACCGAGTGAACCCGGTCGAGCAATCCTAGTAAACCTTTCCTACCCGACTCATTCATGATCCAAAAAAGGAATGCGTCACCATTTGTAAAACAGGGGAGAGAACAGTTATATAAATATATAAACGTTGCTAGTTCATTTTTTTTCATTATATGCATTATGCCATAGTTAAGTTTCCAAAATATAACTCGATCCAACGACCGCCCCAACATACATACATGACCCACAAAAACGTCTACGGAGCCTCTAAGGATACAAAAGAGCAACATGAAAATACCGGCAACAAGGCCCCGGCTATAACTTAAAATGTGAAAACTTATACAAAAGAAGGACTACATGACCCCTGGGAGAAATGGGGCTCACCAAAACTGCTGTGAGGAGAGAAAGAGAGCACCACTATCTGCGATGGAACCACCTACATCCATTCAAAGATGTAGCGCCCCCGGCAAAAGGGACGTTAGTACTGTTGAATAGTACTAGTATGTAAGGCAAACACTAATCTTAGTAGAATAAACAGTGAAACAAAGAGAAGGCAGTCCTAATAATCAATAAGTACTTCATAGAAATACAAAGAAAACACCAAGTAAGGATCACATAGTTTCCAATTCAATCTTTCCATCATTTTAGATTAATAATCTTTAGTGCCAAGCCACAACGCACAATGCCACCGTGTTTTTACACGGAGTCTGGTCTCGGCCCGACCGGCTAAGCCATCTCAAGTGAGACATATCCATATCCACAATGTAATTCAATAATTCCAATACAAATGCCACCATGTGTACAGCATGGCGTCTGATCTCGGCCCGATCGGCTAAGCCATCTCACTTGAGACATAACCTCTTTTAACTGTCCACTCAATTCACATTTCTTTCTCATCTTTATTACATGGCACAAACAACCTCATTCATTAAGTAGTTCTTGGCACTCGGGTACATTTTACAATTCAAGTCTTTCCCTTTTTATTTGTTCAAATAACATCATCATTCATGCTGATAAGTACCATCACATAAGGCATTTCACACATAAGGGAAGGAGCTTGAAAAATCATAATTACGTTCTCAAATAGCATGATAACATGGTAACCATCTAAAA